ATTTATTGCTAACCAAAGAGCGCAAGTTTATTACCGCTATGAGTTCAGACCTTCGGATTTATTTGTAGCCTCAACCTCAGCAGCTATAAATAAAGCGCTTTTAGTGCTAGCAGCTTCTATGCCTTCAGACGTACGTTTGGTGCTGAGTTTAAGAAGTGAAAACATATATTTCGCTTCATTTACATTTCCTTAGTTTCCTGTTTACTTTGAAAGATTGGTCGTAACCTATTTTATTGGTGGTATTAAAGGAAAGTCCTACAAAAACATTGAATTTACTCTTTTTACTATAATTGTGTTTTTCATTAGGACATGAGTAATTTCTTTTGTATTGAAGATTGTCGTAATAATTCACAGCAAGTTAAACCCTTGTAGCACAGACTTGTTATAATGACTACCAACCCTAACTCAAGTTCTGTACTAAATATTATTGCTCTGCCTTAGGCAACTCCTTTGATAGATGGGTTACCTTAAAATTGAAATACGATGGCCTCTCAGCCTTATGTCACATATTTTTTATTTATTTTAAATTCCCAGCGATTATTTTTACGATGCACATTCACTTCTTATACAAATATTTTCAAAATATATTAAAAATTAATCATTTATTGTTATGAAAAAAAAAACAAGTTAGTTTTGTTTTAACATGTTTGTATTTATATTTCCGTAATATTTTAATTAATTTGTGTAAAATATTTTATTCTATATACCTTGTTATTAAGAGAAATGGTGATAATGTATCTGATTATAAGAATGATACATATTTTCTTAAATGCGCCAATCATCAAAGTAACGAATTATAACGCAATTTGAATTGGCAACGCGTAATCAGGAGTGTCGCGTGGAGTGTCGAGTGTCGAGTGTCGAGTGTCGACCGCAGAGAGCCCTCCAAGCGAGCACACTCGAACATCTGTCGAAGCTTAAGTTTAAGCGGTGGAACTAAAAAACGCTCTTAGACTATTGAGAATTTTACGCTCCGATGAACTTTCTAGTATGTAAAATGTTTGGCGAATGTTTTATTATTACTTTCTAAGTGCTGTTTAAAACACGTCATATATTACTTACAACTGTTTGACTGCTCTTATATTTTATGGACGATAGTAAATACGAAAGGGTGATCAAAATGAAATAAAATAATAATTGAAAAAAAAATTAAATTGAAAATTATAAAAAATCTATAAATTGAGATTAAGAAACAATGTGATTTATAAAAATCTCTAGATGGGTACGTAGTAGATGTGAAAAAAGAGACAATTTACATTCACAGATACATCTTAAATAATATAAGCATTTTCAATATTTAACATATTTTCAATGCATACTTGGTACAAACAAAAACGGGTATAAAATTTTGCATTACTAAATCCTCAAGATCCAAATCAGAACAATGAGAAACTATGAAAAAAATTCTAAGCGTTTTTTTCTTAACAAATGTTCAAACATAATTAGTCATTATAAATTTAATAAAATACACGTTCTATAAAGTCCGTACATGTACCTGAACTAATGAAAGCGTGTCAATAACATACAGTGCATACAAAATTTTAGTTAACATTAAAGTACACGACACTAACGGCACACAACACTTAATATGGCGTGTTTATACTCGATCAATCTACTCGTGTAAGTTTTAACAACACTAAACACTTAACGACGGATTAAAGATTACTAAATAAAACATATAATGGCTAATGGTTAAAATATTAGATAGATTTATGAATATCCTATAAAGTCTTAATCAGTTTCAAGTAAATGAAATGTCCAAAAGAATTATGTACATTGAATGAAAAAATATAGACGTGTGCTTAGTTCGAACCTGTGACTATCGGGATATTGCATTTCAGTAGCTTAACCAATTAAACTGTCGCGTCAAGCACTTTATACTTTTTATGACACATTCCGAAAGCGTTGTAAAGTCAAAGATTGGAATTTGGAATACTTGGTTAAAAAAATAACCTTTTATTTACATTTTTTTAATCGTTAATATGTACAACGTTCGGAACAATTTAAAAATAAATCCAAATCATGATTTACAAATTAATTTAATAAAAATAATTTTACGTCAAATACCAACTTTTAATCAATAAAATTGCCTTACATTACTATTTTGTTTCAGTGAATGGCTTTAAATTTTACTTGTAATCGTAATTAGAGTCTGAAAATCTTCAGTATCCTACATATATAACAAAATATTGTTAAAGAAGTATATGAAGTTAACTCATAATCTTGTATGGATTAAATTGAATGCGTCTTAATATTCAAATCCGCAAGTTAAGTACCGGCGCCGTCTGGAAGATCATCATGGTTACACAACAATCATATTGCCATCAATTATAGAGCTTGAGATTCTGATAAATACTTGGTGAATTATTGAAAGTAAACTAAACAATTTACAATATTCGAAAGAAATATTTAAAAATATCTATTTATATTATTTTAACTTCAAGTAAAGGTAATGAGATCTCAGACGCATCTCGTCTGTCCGTGATCACGGTTGCTGAAAAGTAATCGAAAAAAGTAATCGAAAAGTATGTAGTTTTTACAGTAATAAAATACGCGCTGTATAATCCGAAAAATAATGATTTCAACATTATACATATTTTTTTATTGTTACCCTTTAAAAATGTAGGACGACAGGCTTAAATCTCAAAGTATCAATTTCAATCATTGTTTAAATTAAAAAAATCCACTTAATTTCCTCACAGTCGAAAACAGATATCATCTCAAGTATCTAACCTTCCGTACTATAGTTTATACAACGCCAAATGACATTAGAGCGTAAGTCGCCACATTCAAAACAAAAGTAAAGATCATCTGCTGCGATAGATCGTGTGAATTAACCTCGTTTGTGAGACGGCTCCATGTAAGGAAAAGAGGAAAGCGTACTCGCCTTATTAAAGGCACAATGGACAAACTAATGTACCTACGAAACCTCAAAAGGCATGCTTAGAGCTGCGGTGTTAGTATTTGATTGCTGTAATGTTACGTACTTGTCAAGCCAATTTGATTTAAACCCTGTAAAACAAGACATTATAATTAAATATGTAATTTTTTAACCGAACTATTGTATATATATTTTTAAATGTTTGTTGTGTAATAAAATGAACATAAATAAATCTAATAATTAGGTTTTAATAAGATAATTTATATTATCTAAACACATTATTTTATATCAAAGAAAGTGAAAGCCATTATACGAATATGACTACATCACAAAGACGCCACCCCACTATTAATATTAATTAATCCACCATCCAATTCTATAACCGAATGCGTTTTGGAATCAAGGAATAAGATGTAATAGAATTACGAACCCCAAGTAAATAGTTTTGAGATGAGGCTGAACGCTAAATAGGATTGGTGTCAGAGAACTGATTCGATTTGAAAACCGACTCCTAATAGATTTATAAATGACAATGTTTTACTTAAGAAACGTTATTTAGGTATTTTTTCGTGTTTTCATCGTGTCTGGTTATACTTAGTATTACTTTAAATTAACATTATAATAAAAAAATCATTAATTCCATCCTTATAAACGATATTGTGATAACGAGATGAAATACAAATCAAAGATCGCAAGCATTTAGTTTAACAGAACCACACTTGATATATTTCAACAGCCGTCGCGTCGTCTTAATAAATGAATAAGTTCACATAAACCGTATATAATTTATGAACTATATCTCATCCCCGTTCAAGAGTAGTCTGAGTTATGATAAATAACACGAAAAAAGCATTAGAAATTGTCATAGAAGTCAACTTCATCAGTTTATGGCGTCGTAAAGCACAGGACGGCGCTCCAAGACGTAGCAACGCCTGCCGTGACAAATGTATAACACAATTTAGTAGTATGGCGATAGTGACAGCGGATTCAAACGCTTTTCAATACATCATTTTGATATCCAATATATATAATTTCATTATTGAATTATAATTTAAATAAAATATGAAAATTTAAGACAATTTTACTGGCTTAAATTCAAATGATTTTGAACACGCGAGTGTAAAACGATTTAATATATAAAAATATATATTACTTATAGAAATAACAACAACTTATTCTGGAAAAATGTGATTTTATTTTTCTTATTTATATGATAATTTAATATTTATCGTTGATTCTTGGTCCATACATGAATTTATAAGTTCAAGTACAGCAATCCTTGTAGCTTGTGCCCGGCTGCACCGGTTATGATGTGGTTATGACGTACCCAAGGGTTGCTACTTGAATAACTTTTATTACATTATTTTATTGCAGACGTATGTCTGACGCCTGTTGAAATGATTTTATTGATTTTAAAAAATAATATTAGTAGTACAGATGTTATATTGTATTGATATTGGATGTCATAAAATTTACTACATTAAAACATTTAAAATATTGTTTATAAGTATGTTTAAATATTATGTTTTGTAGGCAGTTTATTATCTATAGAATTTATAATGTATGCTTTGTTTTTTTTTTTATAAACTAAACAGTCCATACAAATATTATGTATGTATATACAATAAGTAAATAAAATCTGCTTTCAAATGAAAATCGCATAAATATGTGTTAAGTTTTTATTTAAAAACAATATTATAAAATATTAAAATCATTCCATTTTATCCCTCGCCATACTAACATTAAAATGATGAACGACTTCTCATGACAGCCAAGCTTTTGAATTGTTTTGAAGAAACCTAATACTATTGATTGAGTTCAAACACTGGGAGGGCAGAGCCACAAAGAGTTCAATATTGGACTTAAAAGTGTTAAATTTCTTTTCTCTGAAACGAAATTCCTCGAATATTTTTCCATTTAGAGTCTTCTTAGCCGTTTGCACAAACTTAACTGTTGGTTTATATAATTTGTTTACTTGAAAAATTTTATCAATCGAATCTAGTTCACTAAATGGATTTTTAAAGATGATTTCATTATTAAAAGAACTTTTATTTTAAAGATTTTGTATATTTTCGTTTATATTTATGATATCTTAACATCATACCTTGTATAGTTATTTTTAATTCTCCGCTATGGACTCCTCTACACGAGATCTCGACTTAATTGAATCGTACAATGGATTCCTGAACGCTGTACTGCTACTAGCTCCAGTTGGCGTGATAGAATCTTTTCTGGCCAGAGAAACGACACTTTCAGTTCTGCGATTGAATCTAGTAAATATTCTCGGATCATTCGGATGAACAAATATTGGGAAATGGAACTGCGGCATTTTGTAATAGTACAAATAAATAATCCCCAAAACAGAGGCCACTAGGAAAAACATGGAAATAAATATCTTCCCTCCGTATCCTGCTTTGGAAGTAGGGCTTCCGCTGTATTGTGTGAGTGGAGCAAAACGTTTATCCATACGATAATCGATTGTATTCACTACTTCAGCACTCAAGCCAGTATAATCACTTTTATCGACTACTACCAGTTGAACTTTATTATCAAATCTCCCTATATGATACACTAAATCATCTTTTCCGTAACTATTAACAACAGATTCAACAGTTTCTTGGAACTTGATATAATCGAAACTCTTATCAACATTAAATGCCATGATGCCGCCACAAATTTTACAACAATGGCCGATTGGTTGCACCGGATCTACACACAAAGGTACCGGACAAAACTTTGTTGAACAGTCAATTTCAAGAGTATTCGTTTGACATGAACAGCCGCTTGGTGAACGACATATGCTATATTTAACTGAAACCCCAACGTCTTGATGTGTGTTGACTACAAATCTTTGAGTTTGATCAGCTTGGTTATTAATATAATTTCTTAATCTAACAGTGTCATACCTGTTCCCACTTATGACAATGTCGCGTACATATTGAGTTTTTTCTGGTAAAATAAGTATGAAGGTTGTGTTTTCAGGGAATTCGACTACGTCGTCATAGCACGGAATTCTTTCAGCATCTGGAGTTGCTTTATTGAATTTAGGAGAAATCCAAACATCTGGTTCGTTCCAGGAGGATATAGATTTTTCGAAATAAAATGCTTTACCATTAGCAGTGCAATTGTCACCATATTTTTCTCCTAGTTCAATAATAACGTCTTCGATAATTAATTCTCCATCTTCAGGTAATATGAACCCGCTGACCGATACTCCCGACTCGATAACCACGGATGCTGCCACCATATTAGGAAATACAACAGTTTGTTTCGAGCAAGGAAGTCTGCCATCCTTGAAATTCTGCGGCAAATTAAAACTTGCATTAGGAATAAACGTAACTTTCGAACATAAAGCAATGTATACGGTCATTAAATGTATAAAAATCCGTAGCGTCATTTTGGCCGCGATCAAATGAATGCTGGTTAATGAATCCACATGTGACACCAACAGACACGTAATTGGATATTAAATGATGTCTGCCCGTTTGTTATCTGCGTACCATTTCACAGTGACGCGACCTATCAATTTAAAACTCACGCGGTGGGTGGACACTTAATTGCGAACATATATCTATACATCAGAACTAATAGCTCTATATTTCTATTCCTGATCTTAATAACTAACACTATATAACTTAAACCGGGCATCAGATAGATATAGGTCAACCTGCTATATAATAGTGTAGTAAACTGTTACAAAACAATTAACATGTGTGGAATCCAATTTATTATAATAAACTAAACCAATTATTTCAACATCGCATTATCGGATAATTGTTTTGGTCTGCCGCTATAAACGTACAAATTAAAAAGTTTATCCGTCCCTAATAGTCTGCGATAATTTTCATTCGGCGGTTACACGGAACAATACATCAAATATCAGTATAAATAAAAGATTATCAGTAATCCTTATCACGCTGGTTCCAAATCCCTCGGCTTAGTTCCATCTTGAACGCGCAATAAAAGTCAGCGAGGCTATACACAACGGCTCGCTTGATACCTTATGATTTATCATAGTGTACCGCTAGGTGGTTAAGTACAAACCATTAATGAGTTTCAGAGGGGCGGAAATTTAATAAGAGACTGCAGCCGTGCCAAGGAGCGTAGTTATGCAAATTTTATTGCTGGAAAAGCCTCAAACTGAAATACACGGGGCAGATTCACTTGGACAAGTTACGGTACTTGATAGAGAAACACACTTACATAATACGACATACCAGTACAATAGAAGAACTATTACATTATTCATATGTACCTTCAGGATAAAGTAATATAAAGCTTTAATAGTATACCTATATATATTTAGAAACATTAGAAATAGAAAAACTTACGTACTATTCATAATACAACATCGAATAAGACTGTTTTATTATTAAGTATTATAATATAATAAAAATATTCTTCTTCATGTAGTACGTGACGCATTAAGGTAATACAAAGAACGTCTATCCGTATGTACACGATCACGGTAATCGTAACAAGCTCGCCGAAACGCACAATATGGTAGATGAGTAGATAACAGTGCTGTAAGCGTTCAGCTTTTACGGTCACATAAAACCATGGGGACGTTTTGGTGAAGAAGGGTGCAAAGCCTTATTGGAATTGTTACGGTGGTTTACCGCACAATGTATGCGGTTGGCGGGACGGTGCGAATTTAGATCGTGGTACAGTCGTGTAGAAAGTGTGTTACGACTTTTACATGGTAATATTATTAATACAGTACCTTAGGTTTAGAGAATACAAAAACTATATTACATAGAACTCTACTGATAGAATTATACACAATTCCAAGTCACACCATGAGATTTGAAGGTTAAATTTAACATGACAATAATAAGCCAGGAATAAAAAATAAGCTGTGGCAGACAGAAACTATAATCCGTAGGCCTTCATATATAAATACCTTTAGGGATTGAAATTTATGATCCTTTTAACATAACGCTTTTATTTGAAAGGGAAATGTTGTAAATTTTATGTGTACGCTAAAAGCATTAGTTTGAAACGCGAAATATTTGTGATAATAAAAGGCTAATCGTTAACACCCTAATTGGCTGTAACATTCGAATTGCTTTACGGCTCCATCGATCCGACTCCGCTATTATATGTATAAATAGTACTAAAACTAAGATGTTGACAACGATCAAGTCTTCTAACAATTAAACTGTCCCACGTTTTAAACGTCATTTAAATACAATTACTTATAGTTTTATATAATGAAATTAAGATCTTCTTTTTATATCTCAAAAATTTCAATATTTTTTCCAATAAAAATTTATTATTAAATTGTAATAACTGTAACCACAAATTAATGAGATATTCATGCTAGACAAAAAGCATTCAAATAAGGAGTTTAAATCCGAATTATGTTCACTTTGATATAAATATTTAAAACTCATGAAAGTTACAACTAATCAAGTAAATTATCAACTTCAACTTAATTCTGAAAGAGAATTTTTAAATAACTTAGTTAAAAAGCGCTGAAATTGTTGGATAGGCTTTTATTACAAACGGAATATAAATTATATTTGCAATTCAAACATCACACGAGATCTAATTCGTCACGTACTAGCATACCATGATCTGCTTTGGATGAACTCATACAATAACCATGAGAGTATCAAACACTTGAATTTTGATATGCATTTTATATACAGAGGCTGTTGAACAAAAATATATCTCGTTCTTAAAGAATTTCCTACGTATAACACTTTTTTTTAACATAATTGTTATTTATTAATATTATTTTTGAACTTTTTACTTCTTTATTAAATTTGATTTTATTTAAACCATTAAAAACAATTAATCTACTAACATATTATTTCATACTAATTGAATTATATCTATAATTGAAATATTTTTTTAATTATTGTTCATCAGTAAAATAATAAATAGAAGAAAAAGGTTTTAATGACATTATAAGTTACAATGTATTTGAGACAATTGAGCAAAATTCTTTTAGTTTAAGAAAAAAAATCAAATAATTTAAACAGAATATATTCTATAAGTTAAAAACGTTGCCATTAGGAACTAAAGACGTGAATTGTTCAGCCAGCGAGGAAGTCTCCTTTGTCTCGTTCTTGAATAAACAGAAACTTGAAAGGAAATGTAGCTGCTTATAACAACAGTGCTTTAAACTATTGTACGGCTTCGAAAATAATTATATAGCGTTTATTTTAATACATTTATAGATTCATATAAAATTAATTGCTCTTCATCTTATATAAACACGTTTAATTCTTTAAGTTCCCTCCTTGTGGCAGTAAATAAAATTTTGGAACTTTCCTAAACATTACTTCGTCATCCATAAATATAAACTTAGTAATACCAGTATATTTGTAGCGTTTAGAAGCCTAGGGACAACATTGTTCATGCCGGTATAAAATAATCATAGCCCCGACGAAATGTCTCGAATCAATCGATTCGGTGTACAGCAGATTGCTACTATTGTCATTCGGAAAGGTATATTTTGTCTATGAATAAATTATTATATCTTGAATGAGAATACCATTTCTAAACAGAGAAATCTCTTAAAATACGAAGTTATATTTAATTAGAATGTTTTTAAATTAACAGGTATATCTATGTGCCAACAATTTCTATGTTAAAATAAATACAACAAAGAATGTAAAGTCAGCAACACAATTGAGACATGTTAGAAAAAATCTCTACCTATTTTATAAATCAATTTACCTTTCCGCTGTATCCAATCAGTATATACAAAGGCCATTTCACAACATAGAAATATATTATGACGACAAAGGAATCAATTTATCAAGAACTGAAAGGTCGCACACGGCCTATTGATTTGAGCTGCTTTACCCTGTAGTGCTTCAATCGACCGCTCCATTTAACATTTTAAACAATGAACTTTATTATATACCTAGCTAACTATTTATAGTTGATAGAAATTTTTCAACTTATTCATGTTTTGCTTATTGGGTTCAAGCGAGTTTTTTTATAATTTGGTATCCTTTGAATAGTGAATCTATGATAATATTAAATAACTGAGAAGACTCATCACCTAACATGACGCTAGAACACTACAAATGTTACGTCATAAGCTATGCCAAACTCCCGACGGTCTACGACATTTACATATCCAGAGATATTTGTATTTTTTTTTGTCTTTTCGTAATTCTAATCGTAGAAAATGGAATATTTAAACAACACACCATCGGTACGTTTTACCATCTGCTATTATAATTGACAAATTGTAGAAGATGCTTGGCGTTCTTTCATACAAATGAAGGCTCTCCGCTGCTTTTCGTTAAAAACTAGGAGAGAACAACATGAGATCTTATCTTGTGATATTCGTGATTTCCCTCATGTAGAGGATGTCAACCGTCAATTGTAAACATCTATTAAAATCTATTAAGACAATTCTTGACGTCCACTCTTTTACAAAATTTCGTACACAAAACACCTAGTTTCTACCATTTATAATTTTGTTCTTTAATATATTCCAAAATAATTTTTATGTAACATGTAAAAATATTTAAGTAATTATAATAATTTTGCAAAATTCAATTGAAATTCACGAAGACGAAGATTTGGAACTAAGACTTCCTGGGTATCGCGTCCCAATTAAGCGATTATCCTCAGTCATCTCGGTCTTTTGTTTCCGCCGCCTTCACCGTCTTGACTCACATCTTTGAAGATTAATTCTATAGATTCACAAATTCAACAATGCACACATCTCTGATATTCAAATTTTTATTAAAACATTTGTTAATCTTAGTCATGTGAGAAATAGTAACTTTAAAACAAAATTTATCAATAATTATATGATCATAAGAACTTTCTTGTAAACAGATTTAATTCTTACATTTATTCTGATAAGGATCATCTTCTTTTAACTATTGAGTAATTTTAGAAGCATTATTTAACAAAACCATCAGACGAAGTTCAACAAATTATCTCTCAGATCTCATGGACTCGTCTTTTATTTCTTCTGACTTACAAGTAGATTTCTTTTAATCCATTGGTCTATTTATAATTTTAACAATAATATATTACTATACACTCTCTTTTAAATAACAGTTATTTGATTCATTTAAGTAATGAAAGTGAATTTAATCGATCATTTAATACGGATAATTAACTATAATTATTCAATTGAATTGATAACGATAATCACAAATGGCTATCTGCAAAGTTACGTTTCTGAAAACCTCACAGTAAAACATTTAAACTAACATTTAAAATTTTCCATTACTCCTAAAATTCTCAATAGAAACGAAAAATGCA